ATGCCGCTCAGATGAAGACCTGCAACAGAAAAGTCCAACGTCAGGTTCATGTCATCTGATGTGAGCAGGCATTTTACCTGGGTCTTTTTGAGTATTGTTTTTGTTTGTTTGCTTGTGGTTTAATGCCGCATTCAGCAATATTACAGCTATATCACGGTGGTCTGTTAATAGTCAAGTATGGAGCAGACTATCCAGTGATTGACATCATGAGCATCGATCCACGCAATTTTTAATATATTTTTTTTGGTAAGAGACTCGGGAACGCATTTGGGGGCCACAAGGCATAAACAGTGGGAGCCAGGGCTGTGACACATGGCACACTTCACTTCATTTCTAAGAACTAAAAATTCCCCATGCTTTAAGCCTTAAACAATAGACTAAGAAAATTAAGCACTGACACAGTGAGTGTATTTTGATTAGAAATGTCCCACAGGACTCTCAATGTAAATTAACTGCATCCTGTTCCATGCCAATATTCTGGCTACAGGATGCAATATTTGGCGCCAGGTAAAACCCTGTGTATGGTTTACTACTTATCTCCAATATCTAGTTAGTACATTTTCAAAATACTCAAGAAGGAAAAGAACAGCGAAGAAATCTTCTATCCAAATGTATTTTGATTATACAAGGATGTATCTTTGATTTAACCTATGTGCCCACGGCAGGCAAATTGAGGAAAGCATTTTTTTTTTGTCAAAACAGGAAAATTTGAAAGTCCTTAAGTTATTTATTTAGAGGCATAATTATTGCGTTAAATCTATAACGCAATAATTAAGAACTAAGTATTACATCATTTGTCTCTTTAATGGTACAGATTCAGTAAAATACAGGTATAACATGCACAAAACAAAAACATTACTTTGCGATATAGTTAAATATTTTTGCATATCTCATACATCTCAACTTGACATTCAAATCATACTGTAAATCTTCAAATTAACGCGAGCGTGAATTAACATTAGCTCGCATTAATTAACTTCGCATTTATATCTCCAAATGACTATCAACAATAAGACGGCCTCACTGCACACTTTGGATAGTGGAAATACCAACTTAAATATAAACACAAACAAGGTTTATTAAGCAGCAGTTGTAACAAGTATATAACAATGTCATTCAAAGAATAGGAATCACACAATGGGCATCTGGTGAGTTATCAATGATGGGGTCCACAGTTCTACCCACTCGTGTCAAGCTTGTTGATACCAATCAGTGAACTGTTGTTGGTTCAATTATTTTAAGGAATCTGAACTTCATTAATGCCAGTCAACAGAGTAAACATATGTAAACTGTGTGTTGTTTTATTATGAAAACACTGTATATTGTTTATACGAAAGTTCTCTCCTCAGAGCTAATAAGCGGTGTTATTTGCTGTTTGATTGGATTAAGGTATGTATATGTATCATTCCACTGGGGAGGGGGTGTGGGGAGTCGCATTTTTGGCAAGGGGTAAGCGGTCGTATTAACATGATTAATTTGGAGATGCATTAATTTCCAGATTTACAGTATCCACCTCTTCTGTCATACACACATACCAAAGTTCCTATATATAAGCCACACATGAGGTAACTCACATTTTGAAGGATGAGGCTATCTTAATCTTCTGGCCTCTCTTTCAGATTCCAGTAGTGTAAGGATATCTCCCTCTCTGACTGGGCCCTTGACGTTGCGGATGATTGAACGATTGCTGTCATCCAAAAATTCAACTCGGACCTGAAAACAAATCATGAAAGACTTACAATAAATATGTAAACATTTCATTGAATATCAGTGTACATTATAGGTTGGGTTTGGTTGGGGTTGGAGATTTGTGGAATTTGAATATATGTACCGCCGTAAATGTTTAACTTTTAACATTGAGATACCAGAACTCCTAGGCTTTCATGCATACTTACCGCATCATACCACAAAACTGTTATTTATTTAGGCTTAACACATAACTAAGACAACCATCTACATGATCAAATTTAACAATAACTAAGACGACAGTCTAATGTAAAAACAGGAAAGTAATATTTTCTTTTTCTTTAAAACTCTGTTTTAGAAAAGCAACAACCTCTACGAAGGAAAGATGGACATTGGGCCTCTATCAACTTACTTTACAAAAACGCAGGTATTACAACTTTAATCTTACCCAATGGTGGCATTTACTTAATTTACATGTGTGGAAAATTGATGCAAGAACAGCTGTGCAATGTTAAAACTATATGACCTCAGTCTGTAAATAATCGAGTTGGCCCATACAATCCAGTGATTGATATCATGAGCATGGATCTACCCAATGGATGCATGCATCAACCAATTCAGCAAGCCTGACCACCTGATAGAATTTGTCACTTCTTGTGACAAGCATGGGTTGATGAAAACTTATTCTAACCTAATTGACACATGTGGGAAATTGATGCAGGAACAGCTGATTTGTTTTGTTTGTTGTTTAATGGCTGCACTCAGCAATCTTCCAGCCAAATGACCGTAGTTTGTAAATAATTGGGTCTGAACCAGACAAGGTGATTGATTTCATGAGCATTGATCTGCGCGATGGATGCATGCATCAATCAATTCAACAAGCCATACCACCAGATTCTGTTTGTCGCCTCTTATGACCAGCATGGGTTGCTGAAGACCACTCTAAACCAGATCTTCACGGGTATTAAATTTTGAAACAACATCGCAGAACTACTGTATAGTTCTACTATTTAAACTGAAGTATGTTTGTTTTATATTTTTCACCTGTTCTCTTAGTATTATCACAAACAGTGAGTGAACAGAGAGAATTACTGAACAGTCAAGGATAACAAGAGTTCAATACACATGTCACTTGACACAAATATATCAATTGAAGTATACATCTGTACATCTGCTTGTGAAGTAGAAATGCAAGGAAAGTCAGAATCAGGTTTCTCCCTAGCCTTGGACGAAACAGCAATAATGTGCACCACCATCTCCATGATGCATGAGACCCGTGAAGATTCCGGGGTAGAATAGGTCTTCAGCAACCCTGCTTGCCGTAAAAGGCAACTATGCTTGTCGTAAAAGGCAACTAACGGGATCGGGTGGTCAGGCTCACTGACTTGGTTGATACATGTCATCGATCCAAATTGCTTGGATCGATGCTCATGATGTCAATCACTGGATTGTCTGGTCCAGACTCGATTATTTTACAGACCTCCGTCATATAACTGAATATTGATGAGTGCGGCATGAAACAAACAAACATGATGCATGAAACATGATTTTCTTCCAGTAATGTTAAACTTTCAATGTATGACTTGCTTAATTGATATGTCCAATCACAATCACTCCAATGTTTCAAAAAGAAAGGAGATACACTATAAAATCCACCATCTATCTTTAACATTGTGCAGCTATCAACTGTAAACACTGCTTATCAATAAATGGCCGACACACTGAGAATGCATGCAAAAATAAGGTATTAAATAAATTTATGGAAATATGTCATGTGTGTAAACATGAGAAAGAACTACCAATACTATTTATCATGACATATAAATTTGATAAATAACTGTGGCATTAAGGAGAAATGTGTCACTATTATTACAGTTTACTTTCTTTGAAAAGAGTGAGGTAAGAAAAGGTTAGTCATCTCAAGTGTTCATTTCAGACAATTATACAATAAGCTGCATCCTCTATGTATTAGCAGTGGGACGATACACCGATGCATCCGTAGATCGCTATTTTTTACTTCTCGATACAAGTATCGATCACAGTCAACACTAAGTAAAAAATATCAATTCTGACCTTAATTGTAAGCTTTAATAACTGTTCCACTAAACACTAATCAGTAGTGCAAGTTAATGGTGGAAACAAAAATATTTTCATTTGTTGTGCCATACTTGACACTGCCAGTTGTAAATCGTCAGGTATTTTGCCATCCTGTCTATGAAAAGGACGGCTTACGCACCACTGATAAGAGCACATGCAAGTTCCGTGATACGTATCAGATCGTGATTAAGGTATCGTGATCTGTAGCGGATCTCACAGTTGGGGTTTCGTCCCAGCCCTACTATGTATCTACCTGTGTACACTGTCCTTGTGATCCTGTACGGCCGAGGACTTTCGTCACCTGGAAAGATAAATAGAAGATTGAGATATATAATTTCACAAGAATCTCTTATCGTACCTGAACCTTGAATTATTTCCAAACAATCACAGCAATTGTACTGTAATAAAGGAGAATAAATCCTCAGTACTTCACCATTGATCAACTAAACTGGACTTATCAGTGCTTATTTAGTAACTCAGAGACCATATATCGGTATATGGTTTCTGAGTAACTGTTCAATCAACGTGTTGTTCTCAATGCTTTCAGTTAGCTAATATTTTGATTTTAACCAAGCAACAGCATCAGAGATAAATGAATGCTAAGATTGATTAATGTTGATTGTTTCAATATTTTACTCAATTGTCTTTTACTCAAACATGTTTTCAAATTAATTGAGAAACGAGGTCATGTTATTTTTGTTATTTAACCTTCCATTATTGTCTTGTCGGGAATGTCCTCGTTCTAGTTTTTTTCAGAACAATAAAGATTAATGTAACATTTAATCCGAGTATATATATATCCGATCTATTGATAAACAGTATCAAGCGGTTGTCCTACTGTTTTCATTGAAATCAAGTTGAGATTCCCATCTCATTTTCCGATTTGAGTAATATGGTCAGACAGTTTTCGTAACATTTAATTCAAGCCAGCTGCCAATGCGATGTCAAAATGTCATTCAGTTTTTCGTGTTTATTGAGGAACTATTTATTTGCTTTCAGACTGAAGAAGAGGTGAAATATATGGCTTACACGAGCGAGCTTAATTGGCATCAACTTATCCATGTTGCTTTTTCAGCGTAAGAGGGAGCGGAAGGGGTTTCCACGTGCTATTTCACGGCGGACAAGGTAGTCCCGCAACAATAAATTTCACACTATAATGTTCACTAAATATGATTTAGAATTTTTGAAATGATATACATTAACCAACTATAGTAATTCATCACAATGGTATATTTGTAATAAGATATTTGTAATCTTGTTTGTGCGGAGCTGCAAAATGGCGACCCCCAGAAATGTAACCCCTCTGGTTGCTCGAATTAGGGATTTGTTCCTTCAAGTAATATGCTTATGTTTTTATCGTAATGTAGAAAAGGTTAAATAGACAACGCTGTACCCGGGAATACCATATTTTGTCGATAACATGTGTCATTCGTTATTTTTACATTGACCTTGTCGTGTCCGCCAATGCCTTAGCTTGAGATAGCTGAAAACAGCAACAATTAGATGTTTAAAATCATGATGAGATAACTGACTTTAGACCCAAGAAATTATCAAAGTATGGGAATAGACTTATGGTTGCTCTGTGGGGTTTGGCTTTGGGTGCAAAATTTCGTTGTCTGTGTGAACAATCATGATATATAGTTGTTGTTTTAACCATACACGCCAACTTTTAACTGTATGATTGTCATGCTAGAAGTCACAGTTAGTGAGTAAGTAAGAAAACGTAAATCTTTATGGATAACTACTTCTGTTTTTTTACATATAGCAGCATTTTAATGTAGATTCTTACACTGGTATCAAGCTGAAGTGACATCAAAACAGTTTCCACGGATACCAAGCTAGACGATTTGTACCAAACGAAAAATGTCTGTCTTGTAACTAAATCCCCATCATGTTTGTACCTGTTTTAGAGCATTTGTACTTGATTTGGCTGACTAGTACAAAAAATTGTATGACCCGGATGTAAACAGGATTGCTTTAACCAGTATCAACTGTAAAAATGACCAAAAATAATGTATGTTTCTCACTACTTTCTAATAATTTATTCAGCACTCAATTCTCAAATATTCTGACCTGCACTTTCAAAGCAATTTATGTATAGCACTATTACATTTCCAAAACTCGAACACATTTTATATTTCCAACATTCATTCATTAGACATTTCCAGCATTCTTTCTCCTTATCGCTCTATGGCTGAAATAATGCAGATGCAACGTTAAGTTTTTAACTCACTCCAACATTCTTCATTATACATTTCCTACTTTCATTCATTATGTATCGTTTGAACCATTCATTATACATTTCCAACATTTATTTACTATAGACCTACATTTGAAACATTCATTTTACACTTCAGTGATTGAGTATTGCTTATGCCGCTTTTAGCAATATTCATATTTGGTGAAAGAACAATCAATCAATTAACTCATCAATGCGAGGGGCGGTCGGGTAGCCTAGTGGGTAAAGCGTTCGCTCGTCACGTCGAAGACCCGGGTTCGATTACCGACATGGGTACAATGTGTGAAGCCCATTTCTGGTGTCCCTTGTGATATTGCTGGAATATTTCTAAAAGCGGTGTAAAATCCAACTCACTCACTCACTCATCAATGCTAGGTGACAATAAATGACTACTGAACAGTCATTCCCTGTTTAATATGCTAGTAACATCAGGATTAAATACATTATCTCAACTGGACGTGGTGGCATATTGTTGTTTAAGTATTTAAACTATAAGTTCTTGGAACTCATCCGCTGTAACAAGAAGTTTACTTAATCGGTGATTGGACGACTCATTGGTTGTTATATGAAACACAAAACAAATAAAGTCTTAGCTGAAAACATGTTTAATCCGATTAATGTTTAATGTTTCAAATCATATATAATTTCATTTTACCTGTGAAGATCTGGGTTAGAATACGTCTTCAGCAAGCCATGCTTGCTGTAAAAGGCGGCTATGCTTTTTGTAAGAGGCGTCGAACGGGATCGGGTGGTCAGGCTTGCTGACTTTGTTGATGCATGTCATCATATCCCAATTGCGAAGATCGATGCTCGTGATATCAGTCACTGGATTGTCTGGTCCAGACGGTGTTAACAACAAACAAACAAGCACGGATTCACTTTGTTGGGTACGAGTCATCCAGCTGATTAGGTACAAGTCGGTAGGGGCTATCCATCATTTGGGTCAATTCCGCCTAAAAAGTTTGGGTACAGATCTCTGTGGGTATGGACTGTCCACTTACCATTTCCACAACATTCTGTTAATAGCTATTGTTGACTTTCTCTATTTCTTTGCTTAGGGTATAAAGTACAATGTGATTAATTATGTTCAACAGTCAAGATAGTATTTATGATGATTATCATTCTTAGGCCTACTATTGCAATTTGGTTTGAAGGCTTTCCTAACTGTTACGAGTCCATATCCGACAAATATGGTTTCTACCTAAAAGTTAAATGAAGTTCTTACATAGATTTGCAGGGATCAAAGGCTATTTCATTTACCTGTTATACTTTTGACTTTGTGTAATAAGCATGATAAGTATAACTTGTGCATTCCATGGTTTTAATCTTGCAGTCTAGCCTTAAAAAAAACAACTTTAACCCTATGGACATAAAAATAAATGTAAAGTGCTAACCCAAAGAATCCCAATGGTCTTTATAGTAAAAGGTGGCATGTAGAAACAAACTATATGTTGCAAGAATTGTAGATATAATTGAAATTAGTGGACTTAACATAAAATCTATCCAAATTACCCCAAATAAGAAATGAAAGTTAGAAAACTTTGTGTACAGTGAGACAGACAAGTAATGTTATGATGCATGTACATGAGGAGGATTTATGTCATGTGGTATGAAAATCAATTGTAAAATTATTACTTCTGTTAATATGTAGATTTCTCATGACTTGGTCGTAGGATTATTTATTTTATTTTATCTGACTCACGATTCTACATGTAAACGGGTTGGGCTTCTTTAGTTATTCCCTTTAAGGCTGAGTTTCTTACCATGATCATACCACTGAGATAGCATAGGTGTTATCACTGATCTAGGCATTATGGCCTTTGTCACCAAGCAAGAATCAAAACTTGGTCTTCAGCATCATGTGCAAAAGTTTGTACTGTCTACCCATCCATGACCACTGGCGGGAGGATTATGTAATCTATTACCGTATTCGACGTAATAAGCCCCCGCTCTAATAAGCGCCCATGGCGATATTTGCTGATATATTGGCTGGTGAACAATCCCAATTAGCACCCCTTCCGATTGATCAATGTATACAAGACTTATTTATTCGCTTATAATACACACTCGTGTGTTATATGCACCCTTAATTATGGGTACATAAACACTTCAGGCTGTCACCATAAACCACGAAATTCATCTTTCAACTCTGTTTTTTTCACCAAAATAATATTCTAATAAGAGCCCCCTATTTCTAATTTTGAGAGCGCCCTGGGCGCTTATTACGTCGAATACGGTAATAGAGAAAAAAACCTACCTGTCCCTGCTTCTGTACTGTGGTGCTGAGAATAGGTAGCACTCCTTGCATGTTTTATGATGATGATGATGATGATGATAATAATAGCTGTCGATCATGTTGTTAATCATGTTAATGGACATTGTTTGTATTCCAGCGGAAATACAACAACTCACTTCGTTTTGAGGGAGTCAATTCTTCGAAAAGGTAGGCTTCCAGAAAATGGTAGTGTTTTAGCTCACATGACTTTCAGTCAAGTGAACTTATGTCGTGGCACGTTGTCCATCCATAGAAAATGTTGACATTTTTTATCTCATCTTCATCCAAAAGACCTGTGAAGTTGAAACACAAGGCTGATCTCAGCTATGGTGTTTCTAAATTAATCACAGAATTCCAATCAGATGTTTCAATTGCCAGCATTTACTCGGCCATATGATAGTGAAAAACATGAATTTTCTTATTTATGTCAGAACCTTAAGAAACTTTTCAGCCTTGTCTGTATGTATCCTTATGAAATTGGGATATGTAGTGAATATGAGGTAAGCCCAACAACACATTCTATATTGCTGTGTTTTATTATGTTATTTGATAACTCAACCTTTGACCTTCATGTACTGCTGTGGCAGCCAATAGCACAATGGCTATCATCATGAGCCTCTAATTTTGACCCTGTGCATTCTAAGTTCTGCATGTATCCATTTGTAATTTAATCAACATGACGTGAAGATGTCCGTTGCATAGAAACTTTATTTCTCGTGTTTATTCTTGTTTCCCCTTGTGTGACAAGCTGCTGCTGTTGTAAGAGTAGAAAAACAACGTGCGTGCTAGCGTGTGTGTGTGGTGGTGTGTGTGTGGTGGTGTGTGTGTGGTGGTGTGTGTGTGTGTGGTGTGTGTGTGTGTGTGTGTGTGTGTGTGTGTGTGTGTGTGTGTGTGTGTGTGTGTGTGTGTGTGTGTGTGTGTGTGTGTGTGTGTGTGTTTTTAACATTTTATGTAAGACATGGAGTTGTTACAATGTGTGACCAGACATTCCAAGTATATTGTGTCATCTTTCCCCGGTGGGGCATGAGTGGCCCAGTCGTTTAAAGCATCGCAATTCGATGTTCATATTTACGTCCCTTTGGCATGCCAGAAAGTGGCATATTAGTTTGTCATGCATGCTGCATATAGCTACAAGTGTGTTCATGCTGTATAAAGCAATTTTATTCACTCAGTTAAAGAGGCGGTCGGGTAGCCTAGTGGTTAAAGCATTCGCTTGTCACGCCAAAGACCCGGGTTCAATTCCCGACATGGGTACAATGTGTGAAGCCCATTTCTGGTGTCCCCCGCAGTGATATTGCTGGACTGTTGCTAAAAGTGGCGTAAAACCATACTCACTCAATCACTCAGTTAATAAGAGAACCAGTCCTCTTGTAAAAACTAGTTAGCCAAGTCATATAACTTATCCAGTGTTCAAAAGTAAGGAGGGGGCACGGCTGGCTCAGTTGTCTAAGGCGCCGCAATTTCCTGTGCAGAGTTGTATCTGTTGTATCCCTTCCGCGAGAAAGCTATGATTTTGGGTTTGAATCCTGTTTCCCCCCAATTATGTTTCTAGTTTTGTCAGCACCATACCTGTTCTTGTGGGTTTCATTCACCAAAGTGGTAAACGTCTGCGACCTACATCACTTTAGGCTCCCCGACACGTTGTGCTGTAACTGCTGTAACGTTTTGAAGTGACGTTAAACCCAACTCACTCACTTTTTCCCAAGTGGCGAAAGTGGGTGCTCATGCTATCAACCACATGGTTGTCTTTACCAGACTTGTTGATTTGCTCACTAAAGTACTCACGGAAATGAAAAAAACCTGTTTTTCGATCTCAGATTTTAAATAAATACAGTTAATATACAAAATATATAAATATTCAAACAACTCAATTAGTACTAATTGGGCCTTGGTATATCAAAGGTTTTTATGTCTTTTTACACGTAAAAGTGTGTAAAAATATGAACAAAACAGACTATTGTGAAACTGAGCATAACCAGGTGTTAGTAGATCAAGGTGAATGTCCATGACCTATGACACCTTGACGACAGGTGAAAACAGGTGCTTGAAACCCACGTGCATGTGATTTGTCAGTGGTTAGTGATTTGTGAGTGGCATTGTGGGATAGTGAATCATCGTCAAAATATCAGAACGTAAAAGTAACATATTCCCTTCTCAAACAACTTACATGTCATTATTATTATGTACATAAACATAGCTGTTATTTTTATTGTTGTTTTGATAACTTTTTTTCCGGGTAATTTGCATAATGCCTATAGCCTGTTTCTGCCATGTCAATTTGGACTTCGTTTTATTTTTGAATGTTGAAAGTGCCTACAAATTACCTCCTGTAAAGTACATTTTGTATTGAGAACTGAGATAAAACTAGCAAATCCAGACTAGTACTTTTCCAGTTGTTTTGTTATTTCGTATTTACATCTAAGTAATGCTTTGTGTCGATTATTAAATCCAGCAAAACAGTTTTTTTTCATTTCCATGAGTACTTTAGTTCACCCTGTGTTCCAGGACACAGCCCCCTCCGGACGTGCCTGACGGGCCCTCTCATAAGTTGTCTGCCAACTACTACTTCACCCGGGATGGTAGGAACGAGATGATGCCCCCAAAGAAGGTGTATGATGCCAACCAGCAACTCCTGACAGAAGGATCGTCAGGGTAACATGACAACTTTACTTATCTGTATGGTATCAACTAACACTTTATTTATTGCTTTAAGGACAAACGCAACAGTTGACATGCCAGCACAGCTAGACAATACTTGTACCTGCCGTTGCAGTCCAGTCCTCTGTATCCTGTATATACAGAATTATCATTGTCCTTCCTTTGTTTATTGTTATTTTTCGGATTCCCAGACTGAGTGCCCAGAGGAAGGTACGTACCTCGTCTGTAGAGACTCTGGTCTTCAACATCAAATTCACCGTAAGGTGCGTCTGTTTCGGCAGTTTCCCAAGCCCTTATCTGCTCACATCTGCTTGAGGCATGTGATGTCTCAGCATTAGTTTGATGATCCTATCGTGAATGTTGTCGATTCTTCTTCTCATCTTAGCATGCTTCAATTCTGCAGGCGTGATTGAAAGTTGTGACAAAGCGTCAAAAGAGATGCCAAGCTGAACACCCAATTGTCCGTCGGAGATAGTGGTGTGGTCTGTGTTGTAGAACGGATTGCCTGGACACCACTTCCGGATTGGTTATAAGTCATACCCTGATTAAATTGCTATTCAGAGCTATGAGGTCATTGGTGTAACGTTGTACGTTGTGAAAACATGTACCACATGTCATACCCGATTTCATTGTTATGTCTGACGAGCCTAAAAGGGGTCACTTCACCTGTCATGTTTTTACCCACTCACGTGTTCTTGTCTTTACAACACTAGGCGGTATTATAGAGTCTTTGTTTAGCACCAGCTTCCTCGTGTATGTCTCTCAGTTGTAGTCTATACAGGTAAGGGTATCTGCACCCAACCATCCAACCATGGGATAAATGTGTGAGGCCCGTGAAGATCCAGGGTAGAATAGGTCTTCAGCAACCCATGCTTGTCGTAAGAGGCGACTAACGGGATCGGGTGGTCATTTATCCCAATTGCGTGGATGCTCATGATATTAATTACTGGATTGTCTGGTCCAGACTTGAATATTTACAGACCGCCGTCATATAGTTGGAATAATGCTGAGTGCGGCATTAAACAACAGACCAACCAACCAACCAAAGCATAGTGTGAGATAGATAAGTTTAAAAATGTGTAAATTATTAACTTTTATCATTATATACTTATCCTATCTCAAATCTTATATGCTCGACCGACCATCCCCACATCACAGCTCCTCCAATGATGAGGAAGGGGTAGTCAAGTGATCAAGTCATGAAAAGTCACACACAGGATTATAGTGCTTGTTTGGGTGGTGACCATGTGTTTTGGTGAAATATTTTTAGAAGTTGGAAACTTTGTTTAAGCACATTTCCACATATGGATCAAAAAAGAAGGAAGAAATGCATAGTGTGAGATAGGAAAAGTATATAAATATACAATTTACAATTCCATGTTATCCACTATTAATTAGCCTCATTGTTTTCAGAGAGAAGGCTGTGTCCTCAGGCAAGGCTCCAGTACGTGCAGGGTTTGGATATGACTGGGACACTGGTCGAGCACAGTTTTGAATGACATTCTTGTGTTCCTACATTCATAAGGGTTCTGCAAGCAGGAACTTCTGAAATTAGTTACACAAGATCATGGATGAATGCTTGTATATACATTAGATATTATGGGATGTTTATTGAATAAAGAGTGTTAGAAACTTCTATGTTTATTGTTTTAATTTTTTAGCAACTGGCTTGGCAACTATGGTAAGAGACCCTTAATCATTGAGGGCATATGTGGCAGTCTACAGATCTAACTGAGGTCTAACAGAAATTTTCTTCACACCACTAAACAATAAATTTGAACACAGGCTATATCTGTGTTTTAGAATATAAGGCCAATAAGATTTATCATCCAAAACTGGCATCTACACAGGAGCTATCACTTGAGTGAGATGAAGCTGGAACCCCAAGAAGATAAAGTTTGAACTTCACCCTCATGACTTTTGACATCAAATATATCGACACTTGTCGATAAATGTTAGAAACTAATTGGCAAGCGTCAGAGTTGTCAATATTATTGCCTCATGTTGATATATTTGATCTAAAAAACACATTCAGATGATATTCTCTGCTTATCATCCCAAGCTGGCTTCCACAGGATATATCTCCGTGAAGAAATCCGTCAATGCTTTGCAGACTATTGTAAGGTCATCGGTTACCATGAGACGTGCCACCTTCCCAAGGCAACTGACTATATTAGTCCAGTTACCGACCTCTCCGAACGAGTCGGAAATTATGGAATTATATTTTGGTTGGACTAACTAGCCTATGCAGAGTCTAATCGACATCTGGCTCGTAAACTGTATTGCAGATTTTAGTCAATTGCAAAGCATGTGTTCTGCCAACTCACTGTCAACAGATATTTTCCAAATCTTTTCATGTTTTTGATCAAGGTGCTCACGTGAGTTGATGCACTTATGTAAAGAAGACTTGTTCTATTACTATATAGATTTTGGACTGGGTGCCGTAATTTTGTTTGAAGCAAATGCAAATGATATGAGAGGTGGAATCTGACTGGTCAACAGGAGGGACATAGAAGGGACATAGAAGGGACATAACTCGTTATATCCACTTGCAGCGCTACAATCAAACCCGGCAATTCCAGCCTAGTTCGGCAAGGGTGGAAACTGGACTTTAACAGTCAGTTAACTCCCTTGCTTTGGGAAGATGGAGATGTGCATCACTTTGTTTTTTCCTCCCACATTAAGCTGACAGGCCATGATATAACTGGAGTAATGTTTAAAGTGGCGTTAGACCAACTCACTCCTTCATCGGTTGCCATGACGTCACATTCAAATGTCATCGCTAATCTCTTCCACTGAAGCTGGTTAGCTGTGTTTTTACACTCATGATATGAAATATATCACTCTCCTGGATAAATGTTTTAAAACTTCTTGGCATTCCTCAAAGTTTAAAATGCTGTGGATGAGTGTTGAAATATGTAATATCCAAAGGTACTCTGGTGAGATTCTCCACATCCTTGCCCTTCTTACACCCTCCACTTTACTTCATCGGGGCTCCAAACCTAAATGACAAGAGCCCAATTGTAATCGCTCTGTTTATGATTTTTTTTTTTTTTTTTTATTCCATGTTTTTTTTACCACGGATGACAACCAGTTGCCAGAATCTATCTCCCCTCACCCCCCACCCGCCTCCCCCAAATCATCACACAGAAACTAGTTATTGGTCAATAAATATAAATATATACCCCCTGTATGTAAGTAGATAGGGGAAATATATTTTTATTTACTGACAAATAACTGGATCAATGTGAAGCAGATACCACACAAATTCCAAGACTCTAGGCTCAATGACTAAGGGTAGAGTTTCCAAAATTGATTGCCTGAAGACCCGTGAAGATTCGGGGTAGAATAGGTTTTCAGCAACCCATTCTTGCCGTAAATGGCGACTATGCTTGTCGTAAAAGGCGACTAACGGGATCGGGTGGTCAGGCTCGTTGACTTGGTTGATGCATGTCATCGATCCAAATTCGCATGGATCGGTGCTCATGATATCAATCACTGGATTGTCTGGTCCAGACTCGATTATTTACAGACCGCCGTCATATAGCTGGACTATTGCTGAGTGCGGCGTTAAACAACAACAACAACAACAACAACCAAACAGGAAGTACAAAGTGAGCTTCAGCCATAATACTTTCTGTGAAGTTATAAAATAGTCAGCGTCTGCTTTCCGTGACATAATCCAAACTGGAAATGAGGTGAGGTGAAATGGGGGGTCTTTGTTTTATGTTACAATGTTTAAAGTGTGACACTCAGACAATTTATACAATGTCTAAATATTTCAGTCATTTTACAAAATGACTGAAACATCTGTCCTTTTATTTAACAGATTGACTAAAAATTATTAAGACGTTCAAAAGAGCTTAAAAACACCACAATAGACTAATTATACTAAGATTAGAAGCCAAATAATATAGAAATGTACGTTGGCTTTCATTTTCTTTTAATCCTAACATTTTCAGTCACTTGGTGAGGAGATTAAACATGAAAGTGTTTGGAAGTCGTTATCATAATGATATAAATGGACAGATTTTTCAGCAAGTTTGTAAAATAACTGAACATTAGGTGTTAAATAAGTTCCTTGAGTGAAAATTTTAGTCATTTAACACATAAAATGTACACACAATAAAAATAGCAATGCTCAGGTGAAATATTTACTTTGTGTTAAAATAGTGTAAACGAAAATCGCACATTGCCAAGCAAGTGACTCATTAAAACCTCAACACCATTACTGATGCTGCTCACAAAGATACCGACATTTCCCTATTATTTTGAAGACAAAATAGTATTTCATGTTGTTGATCAATGTGACCATACCCCCTTATACTATCAATAAAAGCGACAAATACGTTTACGAATGGCGCAGCACAGGTCGCGAACCCGTCGAGGTTTCTGCTGTATCATCCGGGTACTCACGGGGAACACAATAACAAAGGCAACAACCAGTCCCGGGTAATTGCTGTAGATCAGTGCCCCTTTAATGCCGAGCACCAGGCAGGGTAACACCAAGTTCCATCTCATAAAGTCTTTTGGCACGACACGACCGGGGAAGGAAACCCTGACCTTTCGCTCTCCGGACGGACGCTCTACCACTACCACTTGGCGGTCCCAAACTGGAAGAACTGAACACTTTGTAACGATCTAGCCTAGAACACTGAGATTTCTGATCTAGAACCAGGTGACTCTCTAGATTAAAGGATCTAATGCAGTATGAAAGTACTTTCTGAAACCGGAAGTTCAACAATTCAAACACTAATAAGCGTTTTTTGCAAAACATAATAAAAATTGGCAACATAGTAAACTATTTATGTCAACGTTTAAACAGCGTTTCCTAGATTCTATACAACCATAAATGGCATTATAATCTTATAAATTCCACACTTTTATCCAAATATTGTTAATTTAAATCGTTGTTAAATACTGAAATGTTTCAAAAGTATTAGATCTGTCCAAATAAGAAGTGTTGTAACTGCTGTTTAGATTAACAACTTTACACATGTACAAAATTAGAATCCGGTAGACCTATTATGTCTATATTGAGGAGAAGAAGATAAAGACGAATACCATGTGTTGTTTTTATGCCCACATTATGCTGAAATTTGACAGCTGTATTTACCTAGGTATTATAATAAAATATAATGAAATATAATAAAGGTCTGCTATTGTGTTAAATACTGGCCGCGGCATACTGTTTATTCAGAACCTACACATGATTTGTTACAATGATTGTTACAGGAAATTCGCATTTGCTGAAGCATAAATCCCTACGGAAACCAAAATTACGCTCAGTCAGCAATATTCCACCTACACCATTTTGTCGGCAATCTTGAATTTGTAATTGGCCCTTATTTTCTACGGAATTAAATAATTTATGTCATTACTACACGGATTTGTCTTTCCAGCACTACACAACAATGGATAGGCTTTAAGAGGGCGTGAATCATAAATGTTAAGGCATTGATATTTACTTGCTGGAGAGTGTCTTCAAAGTTCCCAAACCGTATGTCCTTTTAATGTAAGTTGTATGTTTTTATGAATATTTAACGGTATGTCCATGGTGTAGCAAATGTTGTCCATTTCCAAATTCAACATTGTTACGTTTGAATGTTCAGAATTATTATGGTTCAACCTTGATATTTGAAACACGGTTTAGTCCCCATGAGGGTTGGCTATCGGAGTTTGTGTGTACCGTGTGCAGCTGTGTGTGTACCGTGTGCAGCTGTGTGTGTACCGTGTGCAGCTGTGTGTGTACCGTGTGCAGCTGTGTGTGTACCGTGTGCAGCTGTGTGTGTACCGTGATGTGTATTCCTATGTGTATCCCGTGTGCAGCTGCGTGTGTACCGTGAGGTGTATTGCTATGTGTATCCCGTGTGCAGCTGTGTGTGTACCGTGATGTGTATTGCTATGTGTATCCCGTGTGCAGCTGTGTGTGTACCGTGATGTGTATTGCTATGTGTATCCCGTGTGCAGCTGTGTGTGTACCGTGATGTGTATTGCTATGTGTATCCCGTGTACAGCTGTGTGTGTACCGTGAGGTGTATTGCTATGTGAATCCCGTGTGCAACTGTGTGTGTACCGTGAGGTGTATTGCTATGTGTATCCCGTGTGCTGCTGTGTGTGTACCGTGAGGTGTATTGCTGTGTGTGTACCGTGAGGTGTATTGCTGTGTGTATCCTGTGTGCCGCTGTGTGTGTACCGTGAGGTGTATTGCTATGTGTATCCCGTGTGCAGCTGTGTGTGTACCGTGAGGTGTATTGCTATGTGAATCCCGTGTGCAACTGTGTGTGTACCGTGAGGTGTATTGCTATGTGTATCCCGTGTGCTGCTGTGTGTGTACCGTGAGGTGTATTGCTGTGTGTGTACCGTGAGGTGTATTGCTGTGTGTATCCTGTGTGCTGCTGTGTGTGTACCGTGATGTGTATTGCTATGTGTATCCCGTGTGCAGCTGTGTGTGTACCGTGAGGTGTATTGTTATGTGTATCCCGTGTGCAGCTGTGTGTGTACCGTGAGGTGTATTGTTATGTGTATCCCGTGTGCAACTGTGTGTGTACCGTGAGGTGTATTGCTATGTGTATCCCGTGTGCAGCTGTGTGTGTACCGTGAGGTGTATTGCTATGTGTATCCCGTGTGCAGCTG